GTTGGAGCGAACGCCCCCGCTCGCGCGGCGCTAGAGATGGGCATGCCATGGGAAGGCGCGGGTGACTACGAAGTGAACATAGCTCTGCAGTCAACGCTGGAACTGTTGGCAAAGGGCACGAGCACTATCCACCTCGGCAAGAGGCTGGGAGACATCTCACAGGCCCCCTTCGACGCATTGGATTTGGAGGCGGATGGCTTTGTTTCGGGCCCACCTTGCCCTCCATATTCTACCATGGGACAACGCCTGTTGGAGATGGACCCACGTTCAACAGCATGTGTGACAGTGGCGCTTTGGATCATACAAAAGGTCAAGCACGGCAAGCTGCTCTGGTGGATCATCGAGAACGTGCGTGGCATCCGCAAGCGGCGCCGAGGTGATTCCGAATCGTTTGCTGATTGGTTCGTTCGTGAAATGATGTCAGCCATGCCCGCCGGCTGGAAGGTAGACGCCGTGGAGTTCAACAGCGCCCACTGCGACCGACCTCAGTATCGGCCCCCGTCTGTTGTTCATTGGGGCACCCCCTAGGTCGAGGGGGGCGGCTTTGCAGCGACGTGTCTTGAATGCAGGATGTGCCGAACGCCCGCAAGTCGACATCATTCACTTTCTGGGCCCGACGGCTTCTGCTCAGGATTTCCCCGATCTGAGCCCGATGCAACAAGTGTACGCGCTCGAGCACCTGGCTCAGTTCCAACAGGAGGTGGGCGAAGGCAGGTATGTCGCAATAGTCGACGGGGCCGCGGGGCCCGCTCGGGAGAACAGAGGGTTGCTACACAGTGGGTGGCACTAAAACGTTGAGGACGAGTTGTTCTCACCTCTGCATCTTACCGTCGAGTTCATTGGTGGGCACCTGTGGTGCTAAAGGCCGTTTGCTCAGCCGCGCAGAGACATGCAGGATGGTTGGTTCCAGGCTCACTTGAAGCGCTGACCGATCCAGGGGTGGACGTTGGCGTGGGCAACGCTATGCCAGTCCCACTGATCGGCGCCACCATGTTCCTTGTCTTGCGCGCGCGGGTTGAAGCTATTCGGGGGCTGCTTTGAGTGCTCGCCGTCAGCTAGCAGATTTCAGATTCGACGTCAGCCTGCCGGGTGCAGGGGCGCCTGCCGCGCCCGGGCGAGTCTGGGATGCCATTTGGGCACGCTGTGGGCCCCAAAACAGCATGGGGCTTCATGCGATCACATTCCCCGCTTCCCCCTCGGCAAACTAGGTCGCCATGGAACGATGCGGTTCTCTGTCAGTCTCCAGTGCTCTTCCGCGGGCTGGCCCTTCTGAGAACCATGCAGTGCCCGAAAATATCTGTTCCTCGGGAGTTCCACTGCGCGCGAGGCACCATGGGCCTTTGCGAACACATAGCTGCAAATATCTGGGGCCAGGTTGGCGACCCCCCACCCCCCCCTTCCCCCCTTCATTTCTCCTGCCTCTTCCCTGCTCTCCACTTCCTCATCCTCCGCCCCCTGTCCGCCCTCCTCCCTTTACCTCCTTCCGCCTCGCCTTCCCCCCTCGCCTCGCCCGCGGGAGAGATCGACCCTTCGGCCCCGAGCACGCGCGAGGTCGAACGTGTGGGTCTATGAGATATGAGCAAATACCTAGCGAATTGCGCAAATGACAAATGGCAATGCTGTCGAGGAGTTCTACGCAATCAAAAAGCAAAATCAGTAAACGCAATGATAAAGCATTGTCTGCTCAGCGATGCTAATATTGAAAACGGCCAGCAACTCTTGCATGATTAGCTCGCCCACCGCCTATCCACCCCTCTTCCTCGATCAGGTTGTCGGCTGAGTATCTGGTGTTTTTTTCGGTGACACGCACGCTCCAAATCAACCCATCATCCGAGGGCGTGTCGGGGGTGTCGGGAACGGCGACGCCAGGGAACGCCTCTGCTAGCGGAACGCCGTAGGCGTCTTCGATCTAGACGTACACGCACACATACATACATCTACAGTGCCGGTATGTATGTATGTATGTATGTAAGTATGTATGTATGTATGTATATATTTATATATATATATATATATATATATATATATGTGTATGTATACATATGCACACATGTGCGCACGATTGCGTTGGCGCTTCGCGCCACGCGCCTTGGTCATTAAAGCTTCGCATCTGGTGGCACCTGGCGTCATTGTATGTAGCCTTTCAAGTTTGGCCGGTTCTTTCAGGTTCCCTCACGTGTCCTTTATCCTCTTGCACGGGGTGTCTAGAGTTCCGACCATTTTATTCCGCGTCGCACACACACACCCTCCCCGCGTCCCCAGCGCCAGAGTGGGGCTCCCGCGCCGTGGCTCTCTGCCCCGAGCTCCCCCGCCCCAGCGCCCCAGCGGGAGCCCCGCCCACCGCCCCCTCGTCCACGAACGTATTCCTCGTCGCACATCCCCCCCCGCCCCGCGTCCCCAGCGCCAGAGTGGGACCCCCGCGCCGTGGCCCTCTGCATGCCCCGAGCCCCCCCCGCGTCCCCAGCGCCCCAGCGGGGGGCCCGCCCATTGCCCCCTCCGCCACGAACGCTTTATTCACCGTCGCACACACCCCGTCCCCCCGCTTCCCCAGCGTCAGAGTGGGACCCCCGCGCCGTGGCTCTCTGCCCCGAGGCCCCCCGCGTCGCCAGCGCCCCAGCGGGAACCCCGCCCACGGCCCCCTCCGCCACGAACGTTTTATTCCGCGTCGCGACGCGCCCCCCCCCCACACCTCCAGCGCCCCAGTGAGGGCTCCGCCCTGTGCCCCCTCCGCCCCGACAATTTTATTCCGCGTCGCGACGCACACCACCTCCCCCCCCCGTCCCCAGCGCCCCACTTGGACCCCCGCCCCGTGGCCCTTTGCCCCAAGCCCCGCCCAATGCCCCCTCCGCCCCGACCATTTTATTCTGCGTCGCGACGCACAGTGCCTCCCCCCCCTCCTCTCCGCGCCCCCAGCGCCCCAGTCGGACCTCCGCCCCGTGCCCCTTCCGCTCCGAGCACTTTATTCCGCACCGCGACGCACGCCACCTCCCCCCCTTCTCCCCACCTGGGATTTGGGCCCCGTTGCTGGGCCCGGAGGGGCGATGTCTTGCCCCCTCTTCCCTCCTCCTCCTCCACCTCCTCCTCCCCCCTTCCTTTTTGTGCAGGAGCCATGGCACACGTGCCATTTGTTTGCTCTTGCTCGTGCGCCTGCGCCACCCCCTTTTTCCCAACCATCCTGTGGTGTTGGGTCCTCGTTTTGAAAAAGAAAGCGCCACGCGTCACTCACTCACTCCTCCTCCCACTCCTCCCACTCACTCCTCCGCCACCTCCTCCCCCGCCACCCCTTCCTCCTTCCTCCCTGCGTTTCGCCCACCCAGTACAACGCTTCGTGGCCCCATAGGGAATTCCACCGAAGGCCCCACTGCCACCGCCCGCATGCATCACCCACACCCATTTCGGCACACCCCTCACACGTTTCGTGGCCCATATGGAGTTCCATCGAAGGCCCCAGTGCCACCGCCCGCATGCGTCACCCACCAATTTCGGCACACCCCTCACACGCTTCGTGGCCGCATATGGAGCTCCAACGAAGGCCCCGGTGCCACCGCCCGCATGCGTCACCCACACCCATTTCGACACACCGCTCACACGTTTCGGGCCAGTGCGAGGTCATGAAGTCTTTTTGTCCATGCGCCGATCCAAGTGGACGAGGCTGGGACAGGATCACAATGCAGGGCTCATTTCGACTCCACCGATTCGATTCGATTCGATGTCGATGTTTTCCGATTCCGATTCGATTGAGTTTCGGATTCCGATTTGGATTCCGACGGAGGCCTAACAGCCTGCCGATTTCGAAATATTCGATTTCTCCCAGCTTGGCTGTCGGTTTCCGTTGGTCCGATTCATTTGTATCGCCGATCCGACTTATCGATTCGATCTTGGGTCTCCTGCAGGATCATCATGAGTTGTTTTGGGCCCACGTGAGGGGATGACGATCCCCCTCCGTTTTGACTTTTAATTGCTCTGGCCAAGGCCGAGCCGCTTGAAATCACGAGCTGACAGACTCAGCATGAAGTGGGGTCATTTACAAGAAAGGTTTACAAGGCTGGGACCTCAACATGAAATCCAGCCTGAGTTGGTGAAGGTGGGCATGCAATGGGCATCAACATGAAGTGCCGCCTTCGTCGGCGTTGCTTGCTGCGTGCGTCGATGCCTGGCGCCTCTCTGGGGCCTCTTGAGGGCCTCTTCGGGGTCTTTTGGGAGGCTCTCGGCGGCTTCTTGGAGCATCTTGGGGGCTTCTCGGGAGCGTCGCAGGGGCTTCGTGAGGCCTCGTGGGGATGCCCTCGGGCTCCCAGGGTTTCTTGGAAAGCTTCGTGGAGCTTCTTGTTGACTTCTTGGGAGCTCCTTTGGGGCCTCTTCGGGTTTCTCGGGTGCCTCTGTGGGGCCTCGTCGAGGCGTCGCGGGGGCCTTTTGTGCCGTCTTGGAACTGTCGAGGGACCTTTGGGGTCGTCGTGAACGTTGTGAAGACGATCAAGGCGAGGGCATTTACCATGTGCAAGCAATGCAGTACGTGTTTGATTGGTTTTGCTTCTCGCAGGTGTCCTGCGAAGCGTCTTGTTGCCTTTTCGGGCGCTCATAGAACTCCATGGTGACAGTTTTCGATGAAACGTAGAGCTGGGGTGGGGACCACCTTGTTTGACTGACGGGCAAGACGCGTCGCCATGGGAAAACGAGGAAAGGGGAGCGGGCGGCTAGGCGCCTGGGAGCGGGCGGAATCCACGGACCAGTGCGTCCGTTTACTCAGTATTTGGACACATTTTCTGTTTGGGAGGTAAACAAAACGCAGGGGCATGCATCCTATAATGATTGCGTGTTGGGTGTCATGCGTCGGGGGGAGGAGCGTAGCAATTGCTTCGCAAGAAGCAACATGTGAAAACGGAAAAGCCCAACATTCTCCAACCGCTGCATGCGCGGTGGCGGATACTGATTTCTACACTTGTATTTAAGTTATACATGCATGCATGATGCGCGTATGTACATGTGTGGTTGCGCAAATCCAGGAGATCGCCGAGAAGGGCACGGCGTACTTTGGGGAGGCCCGGCTTGGGGGGGTGAAGCGAGGTTCGAACGTGGGGCCGATCTTGAGCATACCCACAGGGGTTAAGAAGCGAGCGAATTTTCGGTTTCGCGGAAAGTTGGTCGACCTGCACTAAGGAGGAAGCAAGTCCAAAGCAGAGCGACGCACACCGGGACGGCGGCGGCGAAGCAGACTCACACACCAGCCCTAAAGGCGGCACTCTCTGGGTGACGGCACGATTGCGTCTCCCCGCCGCGACTTGGCAGAAGCTCGGGAGCGAGGTGCTGACGGGAGCGGGCTCCCAAGATCCCTGGATGGGAGGGGGTGCAGGGTCCAAGGTTGGGGGGTTCTTGGAGGGGCAGGGCGCGGAAGGTGGAGGAGGAAGGAAAAGGAGGGGAAGAGAAGGTCGAGGATAAGGACGAAGAGGATGATAGGGGGGTAGACTGCTAGCTGGGAGGGGATGCTGTCCGAGGTGTCCGCCCCTTGGTGGAGCTTCCGCGACGTCCAGAAAGCATCAATGGCTGCTGCTGGGGGAAGTGCACTAAACGGGGCAGATATAAATCAGATGGAGAAGGGATGACGGAGGACGATGCAGCAGGAGGAGCGATCAGCGAGTACATAGGAGGGGGAGAGAGAGAGAGGAGCAGCGAGGAGCGAAGTAGGAACGGTGGGCGAGGACGGTGGATCGATGAGGAAGGAGGGACGAGGACGGGGCATAAGGAAAAGGAGGGCGAGAAGTGGAGAGGAGCAGGCGGAGAGGAGGTGGTGGAGGACGGTGGAGCGACGAGGGAGACGGGAGAAGGTCCTCCACCGTCTCCCTCCTAGCCCGCGTGCCTCTTCCTTCTCGTCCCCTTCCCCCTCCACTGGCCCGCCCTCTTCCTCATTCTACGCCCTCGCCCCCCCACCACCCTCCTCCTCCTCCTCCTCCTCCTCCTCCTCCTCCTCCTCCTCCTCCTCCTCCTCCTCCTCTGCTTTCTCGCCCTGCTTCCGCTAGATCCCTGCCTCCTCTGCTCTCGCGCGGAGAATGCTTCCGCTCTCGCGTTTTTTCGCCGCGTCCCCGTTCCCGCCCCGATGCCCCGATGATGATGATGATGATGATGATGATGATGATGATGATGATGATGATGATGATGATGATGATGATGATGATGATGATGATGAGATGATGAGGATGAGGATGATGATGATGATGATGATGATGTTGATGATCGTCATCATCATCATCATCATCATCATCATCATCATCATCATCATCATCATCATCATCATCATCATCATCATCATCAGTACGAGCTAGGAGCTCCTGACCCCTTCAGACGTGGGGATCATCATCATCATCATCATCATCATCATCATCATCATCGTCCTCCTCCTCCTCCTCATCATCATTATCATCATCATCGAGCTCGCCCAGACCCCCGCGCCTCCAGTTCCCCCGCCTGCCGAGGGCCACGCCCGCCAGTCTTCATGCTTTCCCTGCGGGAAGGCTCGGCTTCGCGCAAGAGTGACCCTTCTCAAGCAGTGGCGGAGCGTGCTGACTCGCCTCCAGGCCCACCAAAGAACTCTCTACGAACCCTCTGTGGGTTGCACGGAGTGTTCTGAGAACAATTCTGGCTCAGGCAGTCTTGCTTTCACCGATCCCTTTATATTCTAAGAACACTGATCTCAGTATTACAACACGGTTCGTTCTAAGAATATTTCGGGTGTAGGCATAAAGGAATGCCGGGACGGTCGGTCCTTGCTCATTTCGGGGGCCTCGAGACAGGGGTGGGTGCAAACGGGGTTCAGCCAGAGCGCTGGATCTTGCAGGTTCTTGCAGAGCCCGGAGTGCATGGACCCGGGCTAGCGTGCAGGATCTTGCAGGATCCTGCAGGGCCTGACCGCTCCGCGTTTGCATGGACCCTGTGCCAGTGCGTCTCCGATCAACCGTCGCCAGAGTGGCCTGTGGTGCGTACCCACAGGGGGTCCCTCCAGCGCTGGCCAGACGCGGCCTGCCCGCTTGGGTTCGGCCCCCCGTGGCGGCGCGCGCGCCAGAGGCCCCGCTCGCGTTGGGGTCGCGCGCACGTGGCGCCGAAGAACAGTCAGGGGAAGCGCGGGAGCAGAGTGTGATCAGCTTCGTACACACCCCTTATCCCTATGTTTGACATCACCTTCCTCGGTGCCGATCTGAAGGATTCCCTCAGTTTCTGAGGGCACATCCCTAATTTGCCATCGCCTTGGGGTTGCCGACTTTCGGGGTAGGGGTGAGCTCGAGGTTGGTTAGAATTTGTCAGCTTCTTCTGTCGAAGCTTGCTGCGCTTTTCTGGTTGGGCGGTGCTGCTCGGTGCGCGTTCTGTGGCCTGCCCTGTGGGTGGCGACCTCGCGCCCAATGCAGTGGCGCGAGCGGCTTCCTCTGGTGCGCCGCCCGTCCCTGAGTTGTTATTGAATTTCTCTTGTGACCATGACGGGCTCCAGGAATGTTTCGACATGGTGCCGCTCAGGCTCTGGATCGTGAGCTGGCCGTGAAGTGCGCCTTCTGATCGTCGCGCTGGCGTCCTTGATCTCCTCCAGTACTCTGTCTCCGTGGGATCTTGAGCGGTACTTAATATCACCCTTTCCCGCTGCTCGGTTCCATCCGTGGCGGCAGGCCTAGGGGACAAGAAGCGCCGTGGCGAGGGAGGGATGGACACTTGCCGCCAGAACACCCAGCCCCAAGTGCTTTGGGGGGCGGGGGCGGGAGTGACCCGATGTGGCCCGTCTGCCTCGGCAGTCCCAGACCCAAGGCTTCGTGATTTTTTCAGTGCGGACCCCTGGAGGTCTCGACCCATTCTGCGGGGCCAGCTCTTCATCCTTAGCCAGTCTATACCAGTCTGTACGGTCCCTGGGCCCAAAGCGAGCCTCTGGAGACCGAAGAATGTGGGTGGAAGCGTTCTGCCGGGTCTTCATTGCGAAGCGAAGGGGGCCCTGGCGAAACCAACATGGAAGGAATACCAGGTGCAGGAGTTGGGCTTGGCATATCACTGTCGGCGTTCACTGGCGTCGTGATTTCCTACGCAATAGGTCAGACACTGGCGCAACACAAAGCCGAAGTCAGAGGCAGGTTGATGACCATAACTGCACATAGTTCCCACATTGGGGCGTGCTGCAAAAGGGTGGTCGGCTTTCTGTGCAAGCATCGCGACACCGTCCAGCACATCAAGCCGACAACGCAGCAGAGCCATACTGCCGCAGTTGAGGGGGCTACAACGCGAAGTTGTGATGCAGAGTTTCAGGCGGCGGATGCACTATGGGTTGACATGGCGCCGCACAACACCACACGACACGAAGTACCAAACAGGCTACGGATCGCCAGTTGCTGATGGAAGTATGAAGTGGTGCCTCGGCAGCGATATGCTTGTCTCGCGTGCACGCCCCGAGTTCGAATACGAGGATAATTCTCCATACCAGAGTTTAGGAGAAAAGCCTGGCCAGGCAATGCCGCCTGATTTATTCTCCCAGGTCTATATACTGTTATGCGCCATTGCGCCGTCTGCGCATTGACCAGTCACAACGCCCGCAGGTTTTCAATGTCCCGCGCACCTACGGCTAATCTTGGTGTATTCCGACGTACAGCCAGGCAACAGGCAAGTTGGGCGATATTATCGATCACTTTTGATCGGCTCGAACTCATGTGTTAGGGAGTCTGGGGAGGACAGTATGCAAGTCACGGGCGGCATATGCCAAAGGACTCAGGAGGCAATGTGACCCACATTGCGACCAGGCCAGACACCCTGGCCAACTATTCTGCGCATGTGCAATGGAAATCGACATCCACCTTACAAGCGTTGAGCCGTCGGGCCCAGAACTAGAGCAGTGAAGATGTCGACCATTCCCCGCCAAGAATTCCAGGTGGCAGTCAAGAGATTGAGACTTTTGAAGTCGGCAGGCCCTGATGATATCCCACCAGCATTCCCAGACAGTGTTGGGACACAGCGAAGATGCGCGCAGCGTCTATGTCAACACTGGCGACGGGGGGGGACAAAATACATCATACGCCTGGGATGGCATATGTGCGGGGATTGTTCGGCATAGGGGATCTCTTCTTGACCTACCAATTGTCGAAGAGGCCGTCACATGTGACACCTCTCGTCTCCGCTGATGGAGGAGCTCTCATGGGGACTAGTTGGGTCGTCTTTGGGCTGTTCTGGGCTCCTGTCGGGCCGTCTTGGGGCCCTTTGGGGCCGTCTTGACTTGCGGCCCTCTTGGACCGTCTTTGGGCCATATTCATATGTTTTGGGCTCCCCTGGCTGCCAGAAGGGTCTCTTGGGGCCTTCGTGCGGCTTTCTTCGGGCCTCCTCGGGCTGTCTCAGGGCCCTCCGAGGTCGTCTTGGGTCCCTCGGATTCGGCTGGACCGAGGTATAAGATCGAAGTCGATTCAAGGAGGGTGCCCTAATGTTTTTCGTGTTCGGTGGATTTTCTTGTGCATCCTGCGGGGAGGCTACCCTTGCCGGCGGAGGACATCATGTTCTTGAAGGATGTTATTCTGTCCTAGGTTTGGCCGTACCCCCTTGGGCCAGCCTGGGGCTATCTTGTGGCCGCCTGCGGTCTTCGACATGATGCATCGAGCAGGGCAAGAGCTTCCGCCCTTGGGCAAGTGGACAGGCGTGGGGGGGGGCCGGGGGGCCGCGAGCTTGCGGCTTGGCAGTCCGGCTACCTTGTTGAGCAGGCTTGTGCCTGCCTGACCTCGTGGCGCGTGCCGTTGGGGTGCATCTTAGGCGACGGCCCCTTAGATCTGACGTTGCAGTAATTTCAACATAGCAGAAGATCACGACCGGAGCCCCAGACCCCATCTTTCTGCGTCATCCTTCGAGTTGGATCGATCTGCGGGGCGCCCGGGCAAAAACGCCCATTGTGAACAGAATGCAACGCACAGATCTCTGGCTGTCTGGTTGTCTGGGATGTCACCGAAGTCCACGACCGCTGCGCCACAGAGTGGCGCTGGCGGCACTCGGACCCGTGCGCGGAGCTGGAGGCTGGAGGGTGCGACAGCAGCCGCGCTGCACGCTTTGGTCGCGACGGCCAGCCCCACGACCATGGGCATGCGAGACGTGGAGAGGGGAGCTTGGGAGTCCGCAGCTCCCGCTCGAGCAGGAGACTCCGTCATCGGCACCACCCATACATACGTATTTTGTGTGCGCGTCGGCCCCGCAAGGGCGACGCACACGTAGAAATCTTGAAGTACAAGCTCCGTGGCGGGCGCTTTCTGGCCATTCTATTCGGGTAACGAGATGCTACCAGATTCGTGCACTATCCAATAACCTTCTGCCCATCCCGCCACCGTGCCTGGATTGTGGGTCAGAGTTCTGAGGAATGCTTCTTGTCTTCGGAGCGCTCTCGGGGGCCTCGTTGGGGCAGTTGTGGGGCCTCTTGGGAGCCCCTTGCGGGCCTCTTGGGGGCCCCTCGGGTCCTCTTGGGGGCCTCTTGAAGCCTCTTGGGGGCCTCGTGGGGATGTCATGGGATCTCTCGGAGGCCCCTCGGGGCCAAGGGTCAAAAACCTACGCAAAAGCAATGATTTGGGTCTCTTGAAGCCTTTTGGAAGCTGCTTAGGGCGTCTTGGAGGCCTCTTGGGCCGTCTGGGGGCCACATTGAGCGTCTTGAAGCGATCGTTCGGCGACTCGGGGCCATCTTGGACCGTCTCCGGGGCCTCTTGGAGTCCTATTAGCCCGCCTTGGGGCCGTCTTGGGCCCGAAAAGTCACGCGACAAGCCGCTGGGCACACCCAGGGGGCACGCGCCAAGCCCAAGGAGATTTGTGAATTTGGAGCCTGGGCCGCTCGAATCCTTTGGATCGAGGGCTGAGGCCCAGGGGACTAGGCAAACTGCTTGAGGACGACACGTCCATTCAGTGCCCAGCGGCACGGTGGCGGATATGTTCGTGTCGGACGTGCGCCTCCTTTATCAGCACATGCTACTGGTATGTCCCCCTGCGTCCCACGTCAGGCTTCCTCACTGGAATGTCTGCTTTTAGGAGCCCGCACGCGTCCAATTAGTTTCTGGGAATTTGTAGCCCGCAGCCTCTGGCAGAGCGAAGGAGAGGTGGCCTCGAGGGGCTTCAACGGACACCTGTGGCAGCCGCCGACCGCCCCAGTGCCACGCATTAAATGTTTTGGATCAACATACACACTTGACGCTTGGCATCCTGCTGTCCCGCCGCCTCCCGCATTCTTCCTTGCAACGAACTCCTCGGCTTCTCACCATACGTGTCTGTAGTGCGGGGCGTTTCTTTTGAGACATCCTCACAGTGTTGGACATTTTGAAGATGGAAGGGCCCAACAGTTACGCTGACGGAGGGCGAACCATGTTGACTGCGGTCCTGGCTCTGTGTTGCGCAGATCAGGATTGAAGTGCCCAACGGCTGCACGGATGGAGGGCGGTTCCTTCTACAGGATACCCCTCGCTTGAGATTCCCCAGAAAGCGTTTGCATTTAGACGTTCTCATCTGGGTTATTGAGAAATTGGATCCATACGTCGAGGGTGCACCACGTTGCCGCCCGTTGCCGCCCGTTGCCGCTTGTGGTGGTACGCTGGACTCGCCACGTTGCCGCATCGTTGCCGCCTCGTGCGCTGTGTGGTTATGCCGAGGTTTCGCCACGTTGCCGCCCGTGCCGCCTCGTGGGCGCCTCGTGAGCGCCCCGGGCTCTGAGCCTACATGACATAGCTTTCACCACGTAACTTCCACCACACGGCTTGTCCTCATCTATTACACAACATGGTTTGCATTACGTACCTTAGACCCCATAGCCTTCACCTCCAGTTCACACCGCCTACCTGACGCCACGTAGCTTGTACCGCATAGTTGTCACTTCTTCAGCTCGCGCCACATAACCTACACTACAAAGCTCTCACCGTAGAGCTTCCATTCTATAGCTCGCACATCCACAGTGCAATCACTCAATGTTTGGGGTCCATGCTGCCCAAACCCTTTTTATATACATATGGAAGAAGGGACATGGAATGGAAGAGTGTATTGCAGCACTGGTGGTGCATCCTGCTTTCGTTATGGTCGTCGTCCTCCTCCGTCTCCTCATTCCGCCTCCCGCCCCTCCGCCCTCCATCCCCTTCCGCCCTTTTCTTGCAGGGCAGCTGGCATCAGAGCAGACCGCCCCCCGCCGCCGCCCGCCCCGACAGCACGCGGGCATCCACTGCGACGCCTGCGCCACCGTGCCCATCTTCGGATACCGGTATCACAAGGGCGCTTTGCGCTGGCTGCGACGACCTCACGGGAGGTAGGAGGAACGGTCGAATTCGGGCGTTGATTCATGAGGTGGCGATACATGGGGGGGGGGGGGGCGAAGAACCTTCCACCTTTCGTGGCCTAAAGGAGTCCCTTGGGGCCCACAAGGGGTACGGAAAGTGCACGTTTCTCCCCCCCTGTGCTTCGCCCACGAAGCAACGCCCGACGGATCGGCCTTCAACGAAGGAAGGGTCAAGTTCCCTGCGTGCCTGGCGAGTGCAGCGCCGTGTGGGCACGACAGTCGGGGAGGAGGATTGGGTTGGATTGGACACGCTTGCAGCGTTGGGTTCGAGAGTAGGACCGATAAGAAAATTACACATGCGGTTGTGTACCCGGCCGGCTGGGGGTTCTCACCGCTGTGGGGGACAAAGGTAAAACAATTGTTAGCCCACTTAGTGAGTTCGATCATTATGCATGCTAGCTGCAGGCATCTACATTCATTAAACTAGAAAAAGATGGACAGCGGAAAAGGTTAATATAGCATCTTGGCGTCGCCGTTAGCGGGGTCAGGTTGCAGTGTCTTGAACCTGCGCTGCCAGTTGCTTCTGACGTGGGTGCTCTCAACAGTACCACCACAGTCTTTCGAAAGGCCATGGGCGCGCTCGTTCTTGCATATGCGACCACATGCGCCGCATACAAATATCAAGCTATCGGAGTCGTGGCAAGCTGTATTAATTCTATGTGTGCGAAGGTTTGCGACAATAGTGTTGAACACGGCATGATGGTCAGTGTTGACATCCGTAGAAGAAGGCTCCTCAGCGTAATTACGCTTACAGCACACTTTACAGCTCCAGAAGTTTGGCTGGATAAACTCCCACTGATGTGGGGCTACTCCCGAAGCTATGTCTGAGCGGGGGGGGACAGAAGAGGCTGTCATACGTATGCCATCGGAGGACCAGCAACACGGGCGCGGCGGCGGGGGACGTTGGGATGCGGTGGGGCGGAGGAGGAAGAACCACACCCGCCAGTCGCAGTGACGCCGTTCCCCAGCGCCGTACCAGTCGCAGCTGGTCTATTCAGGCCCAAGATTTCGTTGCGGTAGCTGTATTCTGCCCTGCCCTCCCAACGCGGTCCCGCTCTCTTGAGTCTGGAGCGACACCCGTGCTGGCCACGGGGCCTGGGTGGAGCTAGGAAAATCTTTGGAGCTCTAGCGGCGAATTTGAGATAGGATTCCAATGCGTTGGTAGTCCGTGCCTGCTCCTCCACCTCGCTGTTCGATGATTGGCAATTCAACTTGGCACCTAGCTTGACCAGTCTATCGGCTTCGTCATTCCCAACGGCTTTGAACCGTTCAGCTGGGCCTTCCAGGAGCGATGATAGATCTACGTGGGCAGCCACCTTCGAGCAGGAGACACCATCAGTAGAAAGTCCAACCATGCGCATCTGAATGCCTGCATACAACGATTTCCTATACAGGAGTTTGTTTTGGGAATGGGAGTGCAAGTCACCCGCTCCCTTGCAATCTGGTATAATTTCTGTTACGCGCGTTGGATATGTTACGGGTGCCAGCATTGCGACATGCTCAGCTGCCGGGCTGCTCTAGGACAAAAGGTTACCGACTCTGCCACGCATCCCGGCGATAATTTCACCCCGACAAAGCACTTTAAACGAGTCCCCAACCCGCCTGGTCTAAGAAACCGTGCCCAGCCTTAAAGCCGAACCGTTCGAGAAGACCATTCTCCTCAGCGCCACTTCCGGAGGAGACCCGTCTGCAGACCACCATTCGTATTCTTCATGCCAGATTCTCTGAGGGGGGCTGTCTGGAAGGGAGGACACACCTGAAGTCTCAACAAGGCATAAGATACGTCACCTGGTAACGTGAGGAGTGAGGATATCCAGATTTTCAGTTGACAGGAACTCGTCACGCACATACTGGGTAAGGGGGCGCGTAAACAATCGATAGTGAAGATCGTCGCGCACGCAACCGTAGAGACATCATGTATCAGTATCATACTCATGGCATTGAAGTCTTTGCTTCGCCCGTATTATCTGGCAAGAGAAAGCACTCAGTAAATTTCTGTGTGGAGCAAAAAACTCCGATGACCCTACAGGAATCGGGTGACTGACGGATCGAGCCTGTCAGATCTGTAGTTTTTTTGTTTTTCGGAGGTGAATATGTTCGCTCATCGAATCCAAGCCGCACGCATCAGCTCGTGGACCATCTTAGGAATGGTATCGGTCAGAGCGTATCGAAGTCCAAGATGGGTTACTAATTCGAATGGGGGTACGACATGCCAATCCGTTTGCTTCGGGCTCAGGGTTGCCGCACCTGCTGGCCTCACTCCCCCCCAGTTGGCTGGAGGTTGATGAAGGACTTCACGAAATAGACGCCCCAGCTCTGAGAGAAGGCTAATAGATCTGAGCCTCCCATGACTCACTGACTGCCATGCAACCGAGGCCCACTGCATAGCTGGACCCAGCCCTGGTCCCCACAGTGGGTCATCCGAGACTGCAAGAGAGATGCTGCTGGATCGGCGCTTGCAGGAACAGCCAACGAGGGAGACGTACTGCGTCTGGGCTGCGGTGAGTTCTGGGGCAGTTTTCACCACGACCTCTGCATCGTAATAGCCCGAAGCCTACATACCTGACGCACACAGCATCTTCGAAGGGGCCCCAGTGTTCTTCAGAGCTCTCAATGTGGATATGATTTTCTAGAATTTCGGAACACGCTTCGCTAGAATCTTGGATGTCGTGGCTCTCTTGGCCCCGCAGAAATCATCTACTCCTAGGTTGGAAGTGGATGGGAGGGCTTTGCCGGCGTATTTCTCTAAACTGGTTTCCAATGTTCCTGTTAGCCTCGGGCAGGAAGACACAATCACAGGCTTACGTTGGGCGATTTGGCATTCTAATCTCGTACTGGATCATGTTGTACAAGTTTGCCGCAACTGCCGTTCAACGATTGACCTCATTCTGCCCACTGCTGCTTGTGCTGTTGCCGTGCAGGTCATCGATAAACATAGTCGCAGTAATTGAGCGGAGGCAAGGAATGCACCTGCATGATGAAAGTAACAAATGAGCAACCTACTGTGATCCCGAAGCGAAGATATTGGAGTTCTACTGCAAGGCCCATGAAGCCAAACAACCTCTTGGACCCGTATGGATTGAGCACAATCGCTAGTATTGTGAGGGAGACTTGTGACTTCTCGGCCCTAGACCAGCCAAGTCCTATACAGACGTGCTCGTAGTAGATGCTGAGGACTCATACGCAGGAAACCGAGAGCAAGGTCTTGGGCATGACAGCCGTTTTCTGATTGCAAGTAGATGCTTCTGCCGGATTGGTGGGCCACGTGGGGGTCCCAGTTCCGCGCCTCCCATGATCTACAGACATGTTGCCGTATGTTGGACCAGCATTGGGAAGGCAACCGATGCTTCGAAAGCTCGGGCCGCGATCATCCAGCTTGTGTGTGGGGATGAGGGTGGTGCATAAAACAACCACCACATTTCGCATCTTTCCCACTGTCTCATGTAATTGAAAAGGCCTGATTGTAACCACGATCTGGTTCTAGTAGCCCGTAGTGTCTCGGGTGGAAACCATCCCAAGTTTGATTGGTCTTGTGGGAAAGCATCTTGGAAGCTGCTAAGCACCTGCTGGGTCGGCCTCAAGGAGTTGCTGGAATAGCTTTGAACTCCGAGATGCCTTCTAATCGCTTGGCTTCCATTTCAAGCATGGCCGAGGGCTTTGCCGAGGGAAGGAGGGCCTGCAGGAACGTGTGTTTCCAGAAATCTGCTGGTTTAGTCTGCCTGCGTGCCCACCCCGAAGGCATGCCCTCTCGGTTTTCTCGGGCCGATCCCTTCCAAGCTTTCGCCGGTCCCTCCCTCATCATCTCTCTCTCCTTCTTGAGGACAAGCTCGATGTCGGCATAATGCGCGGTGAAGATATCCCTGGGCATTGTAGCGTTACTTTGCCCTGCCCTGGCGTCGTCGGGAGGAGGAGGAGGAGGAGGAGGAGGAGGAGGAGGAGGAGGAGGAGGAGGAGTAGAGCAAGGACGAGGAGGACGAGGACGATGGCGGCCGATCCTCAATCGTTTCCCCCCCTCTCCCCTACGGTCGGGAACGTTTGGATAGCGCGTCGCTCTGGCCCATCACGCTTTGGAGCGACCGTCTTGTGGGCCTCTTGGGTTATTCTGGAACCATCTTGGAGGCCTCCTGGGCGATCTTGGGGCGATCTTTGGGAGCTCTTGGGCCATCTCGGGCCGTCGGAAGGCCGAAAAGAAGCAAATGCCCAAATCCTTCAAAAACCTAATGGGAAAACAAGGGTTTGGGCCTCTTTGGGCCTTCCTGGAGGCCCTCTTGGAGGCCCGTCTTGGGTTGGTGGGCTCCTGGCCCGTCTGACGCCGTCGGAAGCCGTCTTGGGGGCCTCTCTGGAGGCCTCTTGGGCCGTATTTGGGCCCTCTTGGGCCCGTCTTGGGGGCCTCTTGGGCCGTCCTGTGGCCATCTTGGAGGCCTCTTGGGCACTCTTGGGGCGGCCTTTTGGGCCGTCTTGGACCGTCAGACTGCCGAAAAGAAGCAAATGTCAAAATCCTTCCAAAACCTAAGGAATATCAATGATTTTGGCCTCTTCGGGCACTCCTGGAGAACTTCTTGGAAGCCTCTTGGGCCGTCTTCGAGGTCTCTTGGAGCCGTCTTGAGCCGTCTTGAAGGTTTCTTGGGCGAATTTGGAGGCATCTTGGACTCTCTTGGGCCGTCTTGGAGGTCATCGTGGACCATCTTGGGCGAACTTGGAGGCCATCTTGGCCATCTTGGACGCCATCTGGGGCCATCTGGGAGCCATCTGGAGCGGGAAAACCGTTTGGAGCCACATCCGAAAGAGGCTTTCGGGTGGCCGGCGGGTTGGGCCGGAGCCCCAGGGGAAAGGGTTTTTGGACAAAGAACCAAGACCAAAGCCGAAAGGATCCAGCACGCCAGTCACCCCTGTGGCAAGCCAGCAAGGGGCGGCGGATCGAAGACGTCTACGGCGAATCACCGCCGCCCCCTGCCTTTCTGGAAACGCCTATGTGGCAGAACGTTGGGTTAGAGCTTGGCCAAGCTATCGGACCATCTGTTCCCCGAGTCGGTTTGGAAAGCCTTCGGGGAACACGTGGGGGAGGAGGAGGAGGAGGAGGGGGAGGAAAAAGGAGAGGGAGGAGGAGGCCTTTTGAGAGCCTCTTGAGGCACTCTTGAGCTCTATTGGGTCATCTTGGTTGTTTTGGAGACATCTTGGGCCGTCTTGGAGGCCATCTTGGGAGTCTTGGATGCCTCTTTGGCCGTCTTCGGGGCCTCTTGAAGTCGTCTCGGAGGCCTCTTGGGCCGTCATGGGGCCATCTTGGAGGCCTCTTGGGCGATCTTGGGGACCTCTTGGGCCGTTATGGGCTGTCGGAAGGCCGAAAAGAAGCAAATACCAAAATTCTTTAAAAACCTTAGGACAACCAATGATGTTGGCCTCTGCGGGCCATCGTGGAGGACCTCTTGGAGGCTTCTTGGGCCGTCTTGGAGACATCTTGGACCCTCTTGGACCGTCTTGGAAGCCATCTTGGACCATCTTAGGCGGACTTGGAAGCCATCTTGGTCATCTTGCTCGTCTTGGGGCCATCTTGGCGTCCATTTGGGGCCATCTTGGGCATGAAAGGCATTAACATGTGCAGTTTGGGGTCCACGGCGAATCACCGCCGCCCCCTGCCTTTTTGGAAGCGCCTGCGTGGCCGAAAGTTGGGTTTGAGCTTGGCCAAGCTATTGGGCGCGTTCCCCGGGTGGGTTTCGAAAGCTTTCGGGGAACACGGAGTCGGGCGAGCTATCGGATCAGGTGGTTTCCGAGCTTTCGGGCCTTCCTGGAGGACGTCTTGAAGGGTTCTTGGGCCGTCTTGGAGGTCTCTTGCGGGCCTTTTGGGCAGTCTAAGGCCATTTTGATGCCATCTGGGGACGTCGTAAGTGCATTTCGGGGCCATCTTCGCTGTCTTGGAGGCCTTCTTGGTTGTCTTGGAGGCATCTTGGAGACCATCTTGGCCGTCTTGGAGGCCATTTTCGGCGTCTTCGGCGCCATCTTGGGCCCTCTGTGGCTCTTCTTGGGGCCCTATTGGGGGCCTTTTGCGCTGTCATGGCGCCATCTTGGAGGCCTCTTGTGCGCTCTTGGGACGATGTTGGGAGCCTCTTGGGCCGTCTTGGGCCGTCGGAGAGCTGATAAGAAGAAAATGCCAAAGTCCTTCACAAACCTACGGAAAAACAATGATCTGTGCCCTTTCGGGCCTTCCTGGAGGAAGTCTTGGAGGCCTCTTGGGGGCCTCTTGGGGGGCTCTTGCAGTGATTCGCCAAAAACGCAGGAAGATTCTTGGGGCCCCCTTGGGGCCTCCTGGGAACTTCCTGGGGGTCTCTTGGAGGCTTCTTGAGGCCCCCAAGACGGTTTCCGACGGCGTCAGGCGAGCCAGGGGCGCCCAGGAAGGTCGCACAAGGCTGCGCAAACGTGCGCAACGTCCAGGAAAAAGCCCGAAAAACATACCCCATGACGGGTCAATATGGCTTCCAATATGGCTTCCAAGACGGCCAAGATGGCCCAAGATGGCTTCCACGATGCTTCCAAGGCGGCCACGATGGCTTCGAATGCGGCTAAGATGGCCCCAAGATGCCTCCAAGACGGCCCAACATGCACCCAAGACGTCTCAAGATGGCCCAAGACGGCCCAACAGGCTCCCAAGAGGCCTCCAAGACGGCCCAAGAGGCCTCCAAGAGGTCCTCCAGGAAGGCCCGAAGATGTGATGGGAGCGCTTGTCACGTATTTGTCTCGTGTCCCGCGGACTCCATCGCTCAAGTGCATGAGCGTGGGCCGGGCCATGGCCACGGGCGGCACCAACTTTGCGGTGAGCGCCGCGGTGGGTGTCCCGGGGGCCTTGGCGGGCCTGCGGCTGGCGGGCGGGTGGCTGGCGGCAGCGGTGGCGGCCTCCACCACCTGCCCCGCCTGTGTCTGCCACCCGCCCGCGTGGCCTTCCCCGCCGCCCCCATCGCCGCCGCCCGCTGGGCCTGGCGCTGAGGGGCTCGCCGCGGCGGTGGCGGCCGAGCTGGTCCCTTGGCTGGCGAACGCCTCGCCGGCCCCAGAGGTCTGCCCTTCGCCGGAGGCGCTGGCCGAGGCGGTGCTGGAGAGGCTACCGTCTGCCATGGGGCCTGTGGGCCCCCCGTCCGCCGCTGAGCCGCCCGTGGCTGGCCCGACCTGGGCAACGGGATCACGCCGAGCCATCGCCGTGGCATGGAGCGTGGTTGGCGTGGAGCTCGTGGTGCTGATCGGCTGCTGCGCGGTCGCGAAGTCCCGTCGCGATGCTCGCGGGTCGCCGCCGACGTCGCGGGACGAGCGTGCTCTGGCCGAGCCGGTCCGTCGCCGAGGTGGCGGAGTGGTCCGCTGAGCTGCGCCCTGGCCTGCGTCTCGGGCTCTTGTGTCCGCGGGATACTGTGTAGCACGAAAGGCTGCTCCTGTTCCCCGCAGAGGGTACCTATTGGTGGGTGATGACGCCGGACGGTGACACTCACCTACGTGAAAAACGTTGCGGGCGTGGTCGGTGACGGCTGCAACAGGGCTTTCGCGTGCAGCCTCAGTGATGTTGCTCCAGGCGTTGCTCACGGCTCTTTCTACAGGTTCGCGGATCCCGTGCCCTTCGCGCGCTTGCGGTCCGAGGTGGTGTGGGCGCGGACCGCGCAGCAAGGGCATGCTGGCGCGGAGGGCGTCGAGGACCCCGCCGACGTCTGCACCTGGAAGAGCGCGCTGGTGCCTTTCTCGGAGCTGCGCCGCCGCCTCCCTCTCTGCGAGTCTGACGGAGCTGGCGCAGTGGGCGGCGCGGCGACGCCACCCGACGGGGGGGCCATCGTGGAGTCTGGCGTCCCTCCCCCGCTCGGCGTGGCCGCCGAATCGGGGCCGCCCGAAGGAAACGCCTGGTTGGTCTCGACGTGGGGTTCACTGCCTCTGGGCCGCGAGGTGGTCCTGGCGAGCGGCGCGCGACGTTCCAGGATGGCGAGGAGTGGCAGATCGCAGAGGCTGTTCGGATCGAGCGCCTGGACGACTACCGTGTGAGGAGGGCGAAGGAGCTGATGAAGACGCTGGAGGCCGGGCTGGGTCACAGCGATGCCGCGGACGCGGGCGCTGCGGAGGGGCCAGCCGTTGGTGGCGCGGCCGTCGGGGGCGCCGACCGCGAGTCGACGGGCGGCCGTGGCATTCGCGAGCGGCTCGGCGCGCCGCCCGCCGAGGCGCGCCCTGGGCCCGACGGCGGAGAGGACGCGAGGACTCTCTGGGTACAGCATGACGAGCATGGAGAGCGACACAAGCCGTGGAGGGACGTCGCCCGAGAATATCAGAGGTTCAGCTTCAAGTGGCCGCTGGAGGATGGCCACTCCACGGTAAAGCACATGTTCAAGAAGTGGGACCAGAGTGGCGGGTCACCTCTTCTCTAACTAGAGCTCTGGGCGCGCGACCGCATGCTGGGCTCATCGGATCGGACGTGCATCGAGATGAAGCGCCTACTCAGCTCGATCTCTTACGCGGGGACTCACGACCAGCTGAACCTGGCTTGCGCGGCATGCGTCGAAGCGCTGCGCCGCAGTGTGTCGCAGATCGTGGAGGCCCACGCAGGTGGCCCGACGAAGCTTCCGAAATGGGGCGGCCTGCGACACTGCGCGGGCGCGCCGGGGCCGATGGGCGCGATCGACCCAGCCCTTCGCACAGCAGTCTTCCGGCGCAATAAAGAAGAGGCGGGGGTGGGGAGCTGGAAGAGCCGCTCCGCAGACTCGCCCGTGCCCGGCCCCCCGGCGCCGGAGGCGGGCGAAGGGCTCCTGCGGCCGCTGCTGGGGCTGGAGCAGGTCGCGGTCGAGGGCGCGGAGGCGGGCGAGGCGGCGACGCTGCGGGTGCTGGGCGGGGCGGCCTTGGAGCCGGCGGCGGGCGCGGGGCGGCTGGGCGCGGTGGCGAGCTCGCCGCGCCCGAGGCGGCGCGACCGCCGCCGCCGACGGGGGCGGGCGCCCCGTCGGTTGCGCACAGCCCGAGCGCGAAGTCGGGGTGGACTTGCCGTCGCTCTTCCCCCTGCCGAGGCTGGGTGATTATGAGAGGGCCTGAGGGAGTAGCTGCAGCTCCAGGGTCGCGGGGCTGCTCGGCTCGCTGGGCGGGCCCGTCGCAATCTCAATGACGCCATCGATGTTTTGAAGTGGTTGGTGGACCGGACATCCACAGGCGCGAAGCCAAATTTTGATCAGATGAGGGTGCGCGCGCGGATCCTGGACTGCGTCGCCGAGAGCACGCCGCCCCTGGAGACCGCGACCCCCCCGCGAGCATCCTTCGCAGAGCTGTTGCGCGGCCGCAGTGCCTACGACGAGTCGCCCAGACGGAACGTCGGACGTCTTCGCAATGCGGGGCTGGCATCTTCACCCAAGACCGCGGTGGGGAGGGCCGCGGCTGCTAGAGATTTTCTCGAGGGCTGCTTATCTCGGATGCTTCTTGATGAGGAAGCGCTTTGTCATCGTTTGGATCGTTGTGATATCATTCTCCACTGGGGCCTTTCTCTGGCTCGCAACCGCAGGCTGTACATTCGCTTGATCAAGCTGATTTACTCCGAGGGGGCGCTGGTCTACCTCGATGGGTCAGAGCGTCGACAGGAGGTTGGCATGTTCTTCGCAGCCAAGAAGAGCGACCAGCTTCGATCGGTCATCGACGCCAGAAGAAGCAACCTCCATGCCACCTCGCCCCCAGGAGCACCCCCGGCCACAGCCGAGGGCCTGGCCCGCGTCGAGGTGGGGGGCGAGGGTTCGACGCGGAGCTCGGCGCGACGCTGGACTTCACGCTGGGCACCTCCGACATCAGCGACGCCTTCCACCGTTTCAGGATCGACGGGGGGCTCTCGATTTTCTATTGCCTGCGGAGCGTCCTGGCCGCGGAGGTCGGGATGGCGGGTGCCGCGGTGGGCGGCCGTCCGGTGGCGTCTGGCCGCCGCCCAGCGCCTGCCTGCGCCGCGCTGCGCATGGGCTTCACCTAGGCGCTCTACTTCTGCCAGGAAGTGGGCGAGGCCGTCGCGAGTATGGCGCCAGAGCTGGCGGGCGCCCGCCGCGCGAGCGACCGCGGGCCCACCGCGGCGCCGAGGCCGGCCGCGGCGCTCGCCGAGGGCGGCGGCGCCCAGTGTACTTGCGTGGACAACCTGGGAGCGCTCGGCTTCTGCCGCGAGCCAGCGGCGGACTGGCCGGCGGCGGCCGCCGAGCTCTTCGACGCGGCCAGCCTGCGGGCCCGCGAGACGGACCACGAGGCCGGGGGGGGCGAGGCGATGGGCTGCGTGCTGGGCGGCAGGACGCCGTGCACGAGTCTGACCGCCAAACGCTATTGGCGGGCGCGGCAGGGACTCAGCTGGGCTCTCAGCTGCCGCGCGCTCCCTGGTTGGGCCTGGGAGACCACCCTCGGCCACTGCGCTTACTGCGCGATGCGCAACCGAGACTCGCTGCCAACCATCAGCGCCATCTACAAGTTCATCGCGGCAAACTACCACCTGGGCGCCGCGCTGTGGCCCGCCGTCCGAGCGGAGCTGGTCGCCTTCCGCGGCTTGATGCCGCTGCGGCGGGGGGCCGGGCGCTGCCCTGGCCCCCGCTGGTCTGCCTCTCGGACGCGCCCGAGCACGGCTACGCGGCGCGCGCCTCGCCCCTCGAGCTGGAGGCCGCGGGGGGCATCGGGCGCGCGCAGGAGCGCCCTCGTTTCCGTCGCTGGGGGGGCCATTCGGCCCGAGCACATTTCCTCTGGCGTGGGCGTTCTGAAGTCTGCAGAGGAGCTCGAGGAGGGTGATGACACCATTCACCAGGCCGAGTGGGGAGTGGATCTCAGATTCAAGGAGATGGGCGCGGCGATCTTCTCGAGATCCCGCCAGGCGGAGCTCGTCGCCACAGGGCGGCGAAACGCGGTGGGGGATATTTTGGTGCACGCGTCACGTGCCGCGCGCCCTACTGCGAGCGGCGGAGATTGAGTGCAGTTTATCGCCGCAGCTGTGCGGGCTTCGGGCCGCCATGAGCGATAATTGACTCGCAGTATTTTGCATGGAGAGGCAGCGAGCCGGCAAATTTGTGGTTATTTCTTGCACCTGACGGGCTATCGCCCTCTGCCTTGCCCTCAACAAACGGCTTCACATGAGGTGGGTTCCGAGCAAATTTTAATCCTAGCGATGAGGGTTCCCGTCTCTTTGACCCGGAGTATGGCCCGAAAAAGACCCTGATGAACTCTTGGGGGGGGTCTCGCCGAGGATGATGCAGGTGCCGTAAATCGCAGACTTCGACAAGACACAGTGAAACAACGTGAGATTTAATTCAATGGTGACCAATTTCGCAAAGACGTAAACCGGAGCAGAGCAAACATAACAAGCGCATCAAGCAGGTGAGCAAGGACACTAGCAACAAGCTCGATACCGCGACCAACATGGCGACGGCAACTAGCTGGCAAACAACCGCGTGTATCTCTACCAGGCCCAGCGCAGCTCCTACTGGGATCCCACAGGGCCTCGGACATGGAGCACGTCAGCCCCGGGTGGGCCCCCGCGTGGACTTCGAGAGCCCCCTGGCCGACAGCTTCGACGGCCCCGAGAGCCCTCCCTGCTAAACCGCCATCCTCCGGTACTCCTGCTGCGTTGGCTCGCGAGGAGGCCCCGCGCGGGCCTTCGCCGCCGCCCCGGAATCGGGGACCCCGAGGCCGCGCCGGCCGAGGCAGGGCAGCCTGCCCAGCGCTCGCGGGCCCTGTTCGCCCGGGCTGCCAGCGGTGACTGCGCTGTCCAGCGAGCCCCAGTCGCTGCCGAGGCGGCGTCGCGCGCTGGGGCCGCCCCAGGATGCTGGCGAGAGGCTGCTGGGCCCAACGCCTCCGCGCTCTCTGGAGAGCCCCCAGGAGCTCGAGACGTTCGGAGGCGGCCAGAGCGCGGACAGCGGAGAGAGCGACGCCACGACCGCGGCGGCCGACGAGAAGGAGGCCGCTTGCACTCGCCAGCTCCGACGCGCTTCCAGACATCGGGCTGCAGCGGTTTCGCGGGCTTTCGCGCCCCGACGCTGGCGGGCTCGACGCTGCTGGGGCGCTCGGCCGCGAGGGGGGGTGCGGAGCTGCGGCGCCGCCGAGAGCTGGAGATCTTCACCGCCGCCGCGGGCGGAGGCCCGCTCGTCGCGGCCAGCGAGGCGGGCGCTGCTCTCGCGCGCTGCGAAGCAGGTCAGAACTCCAACCGTGGACGCGCTGATCTCAGCCCCGATGCACTTTCAGCCTCAATATGAGAAGTTGGTCTTGCGCCGCTTCCCCCGGGCTGCCGCGCGAGCAGAATCCACCCGCGGCTGCCCAGGATAATTTCGCACATCGCCAAGGGCCCCCCGAGAGCCGCCTCTCCCCGCGCAGCAGCTACCCAGAGCTTGTCGCGGAGCTCGACAAAACCAGGGAGAGGCTGCAACTCGGCCGCCCCGCGCAGCGCCAGCGCAGACACTCGGGGGCGCCCCTGGACCTGCAGGGCCGCCACCGTGACCGCATGGAGCTAAAGGAGCGGGGCGGCTGGCAAGGCGAGTCGCCCCTGAAGGGGCACGAGATCGCCGCGCGGATGAGCCTCTCGGCCTCGAAGTTGCTCCCGTGGCGAGCGGCGCAGTTCAAGATGGCCGACGTCGAGCTCGAGGACCTTCTTCGGGCGCGTGGCGGCCAGACCTTTCGTTCCGCTGTAGAGAGGCGCCCTTGCTTTGCTGATTTCTGCGGCGACGGTGGCGTCGGGGGAGCATTTTCGTTCTTCGGCCAGCGTGCTCGTCTGTGAGACACGCGCTATGGTGACCAGTCTGGTTTCACTCGTTGTGATGTTATGAGGTTGATTGAGTCGGATGCTCGCCGTGTGCTTATCTTGAGGGCTGACCGATCCACAGAATGCGCCAGCTTCTCAATCGCGCGCATGAGGGCCCGTTTCGTTCGCATTGCAAACGAACCAAGGGGCGCCACCGACCGAAGTAGTTTCACTGAAAATGTTCGCAAGGCTTTAAATCGTGGAAATCGGTCGTTGAAGGCAACGCTCCATGTGATCAGAGTTCTAGACAGTTGTCAGGTTCCTTGGTTCCCTCAGAACCCGCGCGGCAGCATGGCGTGGTAGATGCCCGCTTTAAGACGACGGGCGCTCGCTCCGATCACTTCCCAAATCTCTTGATATTTGTGCAGCCGCGGCACCCGCTGGCGCAAGCGGGCACATTTCCTGTTCGGCAATGTAAAACGTGAGCACACTTGTCGGCGTCAGAATCGGCTGCGTTGCGGCAGAGGCGTGCGCTTACACTCGGGCAGGCCGCGCATTGGGTTGTCTGGGCCCCTCCCCACTAGATGCATTTCTTGGGCCAAAGTCGCGGAGCCATATCCCAGAGGCTCGCGCAGAGATCTAGCCGCCGTGATTTACATTGCTGAGAGAGAGAGAGAGGAGAGAGAGAGAGAGAGAGAGAGAGATCGCAATCATGATTCGGGGTTCGATATGGGAAGCTGTCTTGTGACCGAGTGCTCTGTTCAATGGTATGTTTTTTTACCACGCTGACCTGCGCGCTTTCTTTGCCGGCTGGTCCGAGCGGGGCGAGGTATCCGCCCGCGCCGAGTTCTTTGAGACACGTTTCGCTGAGCTGAAAAAAGAGCGCCCCCCCCCCCAGAGACATGGGAGTGCTTGTCACGCATGTGTCCCGTATCCCGCGGCTTCCATCGCTCAAATGCACCCGCGGCCTGCCCTCCGGCGCGCTCGCGCTTGAATTCTTTTAAGCTGTTTTGTGAACCGAGTGCTCTGTTCAATGGCTAGTTTTTTTGACCGTGCTGACCTGTGCGCTTTCTTTGCCCGCTGGCCCGAGCAGGGCGAGGTATCCGCCCGTGCCGAGTTCTTTGAGACACGTTTCGCTGAGTTGAAAAGAGAGCGGGGCCCAGAGACAAAATCATTGATTTTCGGCTTGTTTTCTGAAGGATTTGGGCATTTGCGCTCCTTCGGCTCTCCGAGGGCCCAAGTGGCCCCCACGGCCACCCCAAGATCGCCCAAAGATGCCTTCTGGGGGACCTCTTGGAGGCCGTTTGGGCCGGCCTGGGCCATTTTGACACCATCTTGGGCCGTCTTGGGGTGCGTCTTGGGCCGTCTTGTAAACGCGTGCAAGCCATCTTGGGTTCTTTTGGGGCCGTCGTGGCTATCTTGGAAACCATCTTGGCCGTCTCGGAGGCCATCGCGGGGCCGCCTGGCGCGGGAAGGCCCACGACCTGGAGAGTTCACGGGCCTTCATTCCGCGCCGGCGGGACGGGCCGAAACCCCAGGGGAGTTTTGAAATAACCAAAAACCGAAAGGGTTGAGCACGCCGGGCACCCCGGTGGTAAGCCAACAGGGGGCGGCGGATCTTAGTGGCCTTCGGCCCATCACGCCACCGCGCTTGGGTTGTTGGCATGAGGCCTCTTGTACATGTGGTGGGGTGTCGTGGGGGGCTTGTCGGGGGCCTCTTGGAGGCGGTTTGAGCGCCTCCTGGGGGCCTCGTGGGGTATCTTTTGGGCCTCTTGGGCGCCTCTTGGGGCCTCCTGGGGCCTCTTGGCGGCCTCGTGGGGCCGCCTGGGGGCTTCTCGGGCCACAAATATCGAGCGTTCGGTTCACTCTCGGGACCGTCTTGGAGCCCTCTTGGGCCGACTTGAGCGATTCATTTTTACATGGGAAAGCGATGGAAAACCTGGGCCCCGAACTAGATCAACAGCGGCTCCCGCTTGATATTCTCTCACAATGTATTCCCAATGGCGCTGTCGCGCGGGATTTTCCCACACTTTACGCAGGAAGCGACTTCATCGCCATTTATTCACACGCCGCGCTGCCCACACTCAGGAATCACGCTTTCGTTGTGGATGTCCTGGCGATGTATTTGGAAATTGCGCTATCGCTCGAGGCTTCCTCGCGGTTCATGCGGCACGCACGCTTCAGCAATTTGCCTGCTCGACCTGGCCGCCTGGGCTCGCCTTCCCGATCCGCCCGTTAGGGTCTACCCGCTCGATGTGCCCGTCTGGTTCTGCCACGTGTTGTTTGCTCCTAGCCCCCCCTCCTCCTAGTTTCTCTCTCGTGCTCCATCCTCCTCCCTCCCCTGTGCCCATTCCTTCCATCCGTCCTCTCTTCCCCTGCCTCAGGGATTGCACGAGCGAAATACACGTTGCATGTAAGAAAGGTATAGACCCCAAGGGGGTACGGTCGAGTGCGAAGAGGGCGGGCATCGAGTTTTTGGGATGTAAGTGCTGAGGGACCCACGAGCAGATAAGAGCCAACCGTCTTACAATGATTGTTGTTGTTCCCGTTGAGGCTTCATTTCGGAAGAAAAAGGATTGTTGATCCCCCCTCGGGTATCCATTGTCCCTTTTAAATGAAATGCCCCTCCCAGCGCTCGCACCCTGTTTTGTATAAGGGGAGGTGTGATGCCACCAAACTGCGAAAATGGTTTCCCCGTTTAAAATAACAGCAACAGCAACAACTACAACAACAGCAACAACAACAACATCAACAGCAACGGCTCCCGTTTGATACGTCCGTCCAGTGTATTACAGAATTGGTTCTCGCGCAGGAGTCTTCACAATGTATGCAGAAATCGCGCTCTCGCGTCGGGGCTTCCTCACAACTTACTCAGAAGCCGCGCCCCCGACGCTCAGGAATCACGCTATCGCTTTGTTTCACGATTCACTGGGGGATCGCGCTATCGCTTGAGACTCGAGACTTCCTCGCGATTCATGCAGGATTCACGGCGCAAGCCTAAACTGTTGGAGCCCCGCGCGGGGATCTTGGTTATGCGCTGGAAACCTTCGGCGGCGCCTCCGGTGCCGCCCGCAGCGCGCTCCGCGCGCCAGGGAGGCAGGTCTGGCGCAGATCCAAAAAATCAGCGCGGACCCCCACAAGTTTATGTTTATGACGTTTTTCTCCGATTCGGATTGGGAGGAGGTCTCCTTCTGCGACGCCCTCCACTTCATGCCCCTGCATCATACTTCCCGTCGTCCTCTTCTCTCCCCCCCATCCTCCACCTTCTCCTCATCTCTCTGCTCCCTCGTCGTCGCCGTCGTCTTTCCTGCCCACCGGAACCCTCGAGAGGGACGGGCGGGCCTCTGCAAGTCGTGTTCGGCGCACGACATCTGTGAGAGCTGCTACGACGCGTGGGCAGGCGGCGACGGTGTGATGCCGAACAAGCTTAGCATGCAGGCGCCCTTTTGCAGGTGAGGAGGAGCAGGAGGAAGTTGAGGAGGAATCGGCAGTGGAGGAGAGAGGGTATCAGCGGAGGAGAAGAAAGAGGAGCCGGGTGGGGAGGAGGAGAGGAGGAGGAGGAAGAGGAGGAGGAGGAGGAGGACCAGTGGAAGCCCAAGAGTCATCAACGATGTTGGAATTAACCCTCCCTCCAAGCTCCCTTTTCATAGGCCCCTACAACGGTTCATGTCCATTGAGGGAATTGCCTCGTTGGAAGGCAACAGTTTGAAGATCCTGAAACGTGCCAAAACATTGTTCTCGGGATTTCAACGCCACGTATCAACCTGACTTTGCGTCTTGACGATCCAGAATCGCGTCAGAACGTAATTTTCGGGACTTCAACACAGCGAATCAACATAAATTGTTGCGCTTGCGTAGTCCTAAACCCTTCCAGCACACAATTTCTGGTACGCTGATCATGGGAATCCGCGAAACTCTTGCAAATGGTTGAAACGAATGTGCGCGGCGCTAAGGCGAGAGCCACATCTTGAAAATGAGCCGCCCTCAATCCGCGAAGTTCGTGCCAATGTTTACAAAAGGATGCGCGCGGCGCTTATGCGGAAGCCACAGTTTGAAAACGACCCGCCCTCAATCCGTGAAGCTCTAACAATTTGTTACACGGATGTGCGCGGCGCTAAGGCGAGAACCATAGTTTGAAAACCACCCGCCTTCAATCCGTGAAACTCTTACAATGTGTTAAAACGGATGCGCGCGGCGCTAAGGCGGGAGCCACATTTTGAAAACCACCCGCCTTCAGCCCGTGAAACTTTTGAGAAATTTCACAACTAATGTGCGCATCGCGAAGGCGGGAGCCACATTTTGAAAACGATCCGCCCTCAATCCGTGAACCTCTTGCAAAGTGTTTGCCAGAATGCGCGGCGTCCAGGCGAGAGCCACATTTTGAAAACCACCTGCCTTCCATCTGCGAAACAGTTGCCACTTTTAAAGCTTCAGGGTCACAAGTGGTGAGGAAGTCTCAGGCGAAACGACCGGCCCGCCCTAAAAACTGGCCTCGGGGTGCGACAGAGGGAAGTTATTTATAAGGCGAAGGAATGGAGGAGGAGGAGGAGGAGAAGGGTAATGACTACGACGACAAAGCGTCGAAGGAAGAGAAGGTGGAGGATAGGACGGTAACTGCGTGGTACTTGGAGGAGAGAGCATGTTGATAGATGGATGCATGAGCACGAGTTCGTATTGTTCAGCGGGAAGCTGCCCTGCAGTCTGTTGTAGATAATGCCCAAGGCCATCAATTTCGGATGAGTCGTTCGACAGTGGTTGAGTTTACCGTCTTTGTTGCTGACAATGACGCATGCTGCTGTTTGCAGCCGCCGTGTGTGTGTGCCCATGAAATATCCCCAGCTCATGATCATTGCACATCGGCGCAGCGTCGCGTCTCCCAGCTCAGGCACACCAAATAATCCCGAGATTGATGTTTCAACAATACCAAATCTCAAGGTGTTGAGCACGAACCCTGCTGATCATTCCTTCAAGTTGCACAAAGACCAGACTTTCAAATCTGTCGTCAAGGGGGACAAGACTACAGTGAAGTCAGAGCCGAAGTTGAAGCCTAACGATACCTGCAGCTGCGGCTCGGGCAAGAAGTACAAGGAACGTGCTTTACTTTGTTTGAAACGGGACGTACGTTTTCGTGCTACGGAACACGATCCCGATTAGATCGCACGACGCAGTGAGTGTGTTTGTGTTGGCTTCTTGTGTCGGCCAGGCTCCCTCGCAAGTCAAGTGTGAGTCTGGTTTAGTTGGTTGATGGTTGCATAGAGTTGTGGGCACCGTTCGAGGTCAGCATGCAGCAGACGTCTAGCGTGGAGGATTGCCGGTGGATGTCACGGCAGGGGACGGACGCACCAGCATCAGGACTTCAGAGTAAGTGCGCAGGCCCGACCAGCAACCTGGAGCCGCATGCGTCTGAGAGGTTTCCGGGACAAAGCATGGCGCACCAGAGGAGTTTGCATTGCGCCTGTGTTTGCATCGCCGCCTGATCAAACGAGGAGGGTCACATCCGTTTCAGGCTTGGGATTGGCGCAAAACGTGATACCAACTCATTGGCTCCCAGAAGTGCTGCATGAAATGCTGACGCGACTCTCCTGTTCGCGGACTCCGCAGGAAAGTGGATCGCCTAGAGCAGGATTATATAGATTATTAGGGGTTGGCAGGGAAGGAGCGAGCAGGAGAGTGCCGCAGAATAAAAAGAGATCGGGCGGGTCGGAGAGTGATTGTTTAAGTTGTGGTGTTTTATGGGCGTGTGGACTGGACTCAGACAGAGGTTCTGGCCAAGAGCAGGCCTCTGGGGTCGTAGCTCTTTCCGGGGCCTCTGGGGCCGTGCTTCTTTCCTCGTCGTTCAAGTCTCTTGCACGATGCCCTCTTATGCGTGTGCTGGGAGGTCCGTAGAGGCGGAGGGATCAACTGCAGATCTTGGAGACGGGAGTTCTCCTCGATCCTTCGCCGCAGGCGCAATATTCTGTGTGCCAGGGGGCGGCGCCAGGTCTTCCAGCTGGCCGAGTGGTTCCCGGAATGGCTTGCGGGAATAGGTGTGACAAGGCACAGGATGAGGAGGAGGAGAATTTCCGTCGGTTTTCGTTCAGCACAAACGTGCCGAACGAGGAGGAGGAGGAGGAGGAGGATGATAATGACGAGGACGAGATGGACAGGGAGGTAAGGAGTTCAGCACGAATGTGCCGCAGGAGGAGGAGGAGGAGGAGGAGGAGGAGGAGGAGAATGACGAGGACAAGATGGACAGGGAGGTAAGGAGTGAGGAGGCGAAGGGCTCGGAGGAGGCAGATGAGGAGGAGCAGGAGGAGGATGAGGAGGAATCGGAGGATGCGAGATGGAGATGGGGTGAGAAGAAGGAGGGGGAGGAGACAAGCTAGGTGCGCTCGCGTCATATCTGACGTCCTACCCCTCCCTCTCGTCCCTTGCCATGGCGTAGATGACTTCTCTATATTCGCACAGTCGGATGTCGTAGCATGGCATAGCATTACATTGCATAGCATGGTGTTGAAGTTCAACGCGTAGCATGACATAGCATGGTGTGGCGACGCCCAAAAGTGCGGGTTTCTGCGGCCCAAACAGCAAATCGACACCGAATGTGTGATCATTTCCGATGTTGTTTTTTGTTGGGCGGATATTTTCTTGATGTTAAGGCTTGTTTGGATGGACCGAAAACTATGCCGTGGCATTGCACTGGAAATAATGACGCCAGCGTTGCAGCGGGAGCACGATTCGGGACGAGCGGAAGCGCGGAAATGAGGCCAGCGTTGCAGCGGGAGCACGATTCGGAACGATTGGAAGCGCGGAAATGAGATTGGCGTTGCAGCGGAAGCACGATTCGGAACGAGCGGAAGCCCGAACATGTGGCCAGCGCTTCAGCGGCAGCTACATTTTGAAAATTATCCTGGCGAAGAACCCAACCATATGCAGATGTGAGTACCGCAATTAGGGGTATCGTCTTCCGTGGAGCTCCCTATGGGGCCAATGCTGTACTGGGCGGGGGAACCGCATGCGAACTGCGCCACTGGGACCTTCGGTGGAGCTCCCTATGGGGCCACGAAGCGCTGTACTGGGCGCAGGAACCGCATGCGAGTTCCGCCACTGGGACCTTAGGTGGAGCTCCCTGTGGGGCCACGAAGCGCTGCACTGGTCGCAGGAACCGCATGCGAGTTCCGCCACTGGGACCTTCGGTGGAGGCCCTTAGCGGGCCGCGAAACGCTATACGGGGCGGGGGCGACGCATGCGAACTGCGCCACTGAGACCTTCGGTGGAGCTCTCTATGGGGCCACGAAGCGCTGCATTGGGCGCAGGAACCGCATGCGAGTTCCGCCACTGGGACCTTTGATGGAGCTCCCTAGGGGGCCACGAAAAGATGTACTGCGGGGTGGCACGCATGCGAACTACGCCACCGGGACCTTCGGAGGAGCTCCATTTAGGACCGCGAAACGCTGTACGGGGCGGGGGGGACGCATGCGTACTGCGCCACTGGGACCTTCGGTTGAGCTCCCTCAGGGGCCACGCAATATTGTATTGTGCGTGGGAGCCGCATGCGGACTGCGCCAGTGAGCTCTCCCTAGCGGGCCACGAAACGTTGTACTGGGTGGGGGAACCGCATGCGGACTGCGCCACCGGGCTCTTCGGCGGAGGTCCCTCTGGGGCCACGAAACGCTGTACTGGGCGGGGGGGGACGCACGAGAACTGCGGAGGAGGGAGGAGGGGGAGGAGAAGGAGAGAGGAGAGGAGGAACGCGGGGACCGTCTCTTCAAAACGAGGACCCAACACCACAGGATGTTTGAGAAGAACGCAAGCGAAAACGCATTTCCCAGGAATCGTGTGTGTGTGTGTGTGTGTGTGTGTGTGTGTGTGTGTGTGTGTGTGTGTGTGTGTGTGTGTGTGTGTGTGTGTGTGTGTGAAAAAAAGCAGTACGCGGAGGAGGGCCAGATATCTTCCGGATGTCATCAGGGGAGAGAGGAGGATAGTATTCAGATTGTGTAATTGTAGATTGGGCAGGCAGAGGTGGATAAGCAAAGCGGTGGGCCCCCCCCCTTCCGCACAGACCCCCGGTGTGGGGCCCTAGGCGCCACCCCCCGCTGTAGTATCGCGGCTGCTGCGCCGCGAGTGGCTGTCACGCTTGTGCGCCAGCGATGTCTCGCCGCGGAGCTTCCACCTCGTGTGGTAGCCCTGGACATTGGAGGCTGCGGCAGGTGCGATGTTGCCAGGGGGGAGCACTTCGCAGTACGCGACATTCCCTCAGACTCGGGCTTTGCAATTTCCCCCAAGCGTGATGTGGTCTTGGGCCTTCGTTTTGAAGAGACAGTCCCTGCTTCCTCCCTACCTCCCTTCGTCCTCTCTCAGATCTCTCCTCCTCCCTGCCTCTGCCCTCCGCGTGTACATGTCGGTACACCCATCACACGCTTGGTGGCCCCATAGGGACCTCCACCATTCGGGCGCACCCCATCACACGCTGCGTGGCCGCACGGGGAGCTCCACCGACGGTCCCACTGGCTGAGTTCGCATGCCTTCTCCACACCATGTCGACGCACCCATCACATGTTTCGTGGCTCCATAAGGGGCCTCCACCGAAGGCCCCAGTGGCTGCTTTCGCGCGCCTTCTCCACGTCATTTCGGCGCACCCATCACGCGCTTCGTTGCCCCACAGGGGCTCCACCGAAGGCCTCAGTTGCAGGAATCGCATGGTTGACCGTGCCAACTTCGGCACACCCGTTACACGCTTCGTGGCCCCAAAGGGAGTTCCACCTGAAGGCCCCAGAGGCAGGAATCGCATGCGTGACCGCGCCCATGTCGGCGCAACCCTCACACGCTTCGTGGCCCCAAAGGGAGCTCCACCTGAAAGCCCCAGTGGCAGGAGTCGCATGCGTGACCACGCCCACTTTGACTCACCCATCACACGTTTAGCTGATCAGCCGTAATGGGTTACCTTCAGATGTAACCCGTTATCGCCGACCCCTGCGACAGTATCAGCAACGTCCCCCCATCTTTCCCACGTGCGACTTGGTCCATTTCCAAGTTCTCTCCTTTAGTTTCCATCTGTTTTGCGGCACTCGCAGCTGCATATGCAAGGAGATTGTATCTCGGGCTCCGGTCGTGATGTTTCGCGATGTTGCAGTTTTTCGATATGTTCGAGGTAGGCATTTCGAATAAGAAGTTGGCCTGCCAGCAGGTTCCCCGCAAAGTTTTTTATCCCCCAGTAGCCTGGGGGGCCTAAAGAAGTCCTGAGGCTCCTCAGGAAGCCAAAGGCTCGACGACAAAGGTGGCCTCAGATTCCTTGTAGCCAGGTTTTTTATCGTACGTGACGACTGGACGTAGACTCGTGTTCGAGCGACTTCGAGCAGGTGAATTGAGCGATCGGAACCCGCGAGCACGCGATGCTCCATCCCTGGTTAACCTGCCCTTGTCGCAGCCCCCGGCGGATGTGCACGGCTGGTTTGGCCTGCTGCGTCCGCGCTCATCGACGCCGCCGGGCGCGCGAAGTCCGCTGAGGCACGCCCTCATGGGTGCTGGGCGAGTCAGTCGCGGGCCAAAACAAGCCAGAGGGGCCTTCAGCCGGAAATTCCTTCGGAGCTTTTCCGGGCTCGGGAGGCGCAAAGTATGGCTGGAGGAGGAGCGGTCGGAGCCTTCATTTGGCGGGCCTCCAACTGGGCTTAGCCTCACTCGGGCGAGGAAATTGTACTAAGCAGTCCAGTTCGAATCTCCGCGTTTGGCTGGACATTCCCGCTGCCTCCGAGGATGGCCCCTCACCAAAGTAGATTCCCTTACGTACCATCTTTCCTTCCCACTCGAAAATGGGTCACGGCTCGACGAATTGATCTATATGTATGCCCCGCGGTCTGGGCACCGAGACGCGATTCCATGCATACCCGATCCCATGAACACGCTCTGCGCGGACCCTCCCACACACACACACACACACACACACACACACACACACACACATGCACACCCCTTGCCTAGCGCGCGCAGCGCGCCAGCGACGGCGCCGGAGGCGCCGCCAGTGGTGTGGGGAAGGGGGGTCGGCGGCAGTCCTCCGAAATCGAATGCTTATACAGTGTGCTTTTCGTATCTCACATGCGTCGCCACTGCTCGCGACGACAACGACGACGACGACATCGAGGACGGCAGCAGCGGCGGCGGCTTTGGCGCCGACGGCGGAGGCGACTGTCGCGCGCCTACGGTGGGTCCGTGTCGTCTCGACGCGACAGCGACCCCAGCGTGGGCGGTCGAGGTGACCGCCACCAGTGACCCGGAATCCGTTGATATCGAACGATCGGCGCCGTCGGGAGGCCGCGACCGCTCAAGGTTGAATGATCCACGCGGTGTCAGAAACCAACGCCGAAGTACCGCCTTCGCCTGTCACCCAGAAGGAAAGGTCGAGGACGGTCCTGCGGCATGACCGCTTGTTGATTCCCCAGTCCAATTTCCCCCGGTGGCACTCTTTCATCATGGGGTTAGCTTCGCCGTGATGTAAAAAAGAACATGATCGACCCACGAACTCGGAAAGGGATTAGAAATGCGAGCCATGGAAACATTTTCAAGACACCCGATTGGGCGACGGACAATTGCAAGGTTGAAGGTATGGATCGCGATGTAGCCGTGTCAAATGTTGTGTTATGGTGTGCCGTATTGACATGAGATGCGTCATGCCGCGATGAATTGCGTTGTGCTCTATTGCCTTGTGGATCAAGCCGCCCTTGGCAACCGAATCCTGGCCGAATTGATCTGAATCCTGACCGAGCTTGAGCTAACTGAGCGCATCGCTGGCCCAGAGCTGGTTGCAGTCTAAAGGTGTGGGACGCTCAGTCAGCTCGAGCTCAAGATCCGACTCAGTTCCGACAAGGGACGAGATCGCACGGGGCGCAGGGCGCATGAACGCGCCATGGGATGTGCCAGGGGCGCACAAGGGGATGCGCCGGCAGACGAGCCAGGGCATATGGCAAGGGACGCGCAACGGAACGGGCAGGGGAGGCGCCAGGGGACAAGCCAGAGAACGCGAATGAGGACGAGCCAGGGGACGCGCCACGGGACGCGCCGAAGGGCCTGACAGGGGGCGTGCCAGGGGGCGTCACGTCAGGGGACGTCGCAAGGGACGCGCCATGAGAAGCGACAGCGCACCAAGGGACGCGCCACGGAACGGGCAGGGGTCAGGTACAAACGCATGATTCCAGTTGGCAATCTAAGGGGCACATGTTCCAAAACAAAAAACACTAGGGGCCCGAGCCCCCAGAGACGGGCAATCTACACGAATACGCGTAAAACGCGACATGAATCGAGTTGAGGACATGGGCAATATAGACATATACACATATCTATACATACCTCTCTCTCTCTCTCTCTCTATATATATATATATACATATGAAAGAACGCGCCCGTATGGAACTCAATACTAAAAGGGGGACCCAGCTTCAAGCTCCCCCCCTTCCTTCGAAAAGGGGGGAGATTCCGAAGCTACTCCCCTACCCCCTCCCTTTTGGAAGCAGTTTGGAGCTGGGGGGGGCCCTGGCTAAAAGGGGGGGGGGGGCTTGGAAGCTACCCCCCCCCCCCCCTTCCTCCTTTTTCGGGGCCAGAGGTAAGCACGGGCTCCCCTTTACAAAGGAGAGGGGGGGGGTCCGAAGCTACCATCTTCCTCCCTCCCTTTCGGAAGCTTTTTTGAGCTGGGGGGGCCCTGGCTAAAGCGGGGGGGGGGGGCTTCGAAGCTACCCCCCCTTTCTTTTCGGAGCCAGAGGTAAGCCCAGGCCCCCCTTTCTAAAGGGGAGGGGGGGCTTCGGAAGCTACCCCCCTCCCCCTTCCTTTGCAGCCGGGGTCACGCGGGGGCTCGCTATCGGAGTCGCGCGCGCGCGCGGCGAGGCGCGCGTTGTAGGCGCGGGCCACTGGGCTGGCCTTCGCACATTGAGGTTCCAGTAGGTTTTCCTGCATTTTCGGTCTCAGTGGGCCGTCTTCGCGCGCCGGGCCCGCTTGGAATGGAGTCGGAGTGACAAATCGCGTCGGATGGACACCGGGAGGTGCCATTGGGTCGTGGTCTCGGTTTTCTCGGCCCTTGGGTTTTTGTCTCATTTTCTCGGCCCCTGGTTCGTTGTCTTGTTTTCTCGTTTTCTCGGCCCCTGGGTCGTGGTCTCGTTTTCTTTGACCCTGGTTCGTTGTCTTGAATTCTTGTTTTATCGTCCCCTGTGTCGCGGTCTTGCGTTCTCAGCCCCTGGTTCGTTTTCTCGTTTTCTTGTTTTCTCGGCCCCTTGGTCGTGGTCCAGTTTTCTCGGACCCTGGTTTGTTTGATCGTTTTCGCATTCTCCCTGCCCCTTGGTCGTGGTCTCGTTTTCTCGGACCCCGTTTCATTGTCTCGTTTTGTTGTCTTCCCGGCTCCTGGGTCGTGGTCTCGTGGTTCGTTTCTCGTTTTCTCTGCCCCTGGGTCGTGGTTGGGTGTTCTCGGGCCATGGTTAGTTTTCTTGTTTCTTCGTTTTCTCTACTTTTCTTTGCCCCTGGGTCATGGTCTCGTTTTTTTTCTGACCCTGGTTTGTTTTCTCGTTTTCTCTGCCTCTGGGTCGTGGTCTCGTTTTCTCTGGCCCTGGTTCGTGTTCTCATTTCTTGTTTTCTCGGCCCCTGGGTCTCGGTTTACTTTTCTCGGACCCTGGTTCGTTTTCTCGTTTTCTTGTCTTCTCGGCCCAAGACGCCTCCCAGGAGCCCCCAGAATGCGAAAGGATGATCCAAGACGCTCCCAAGCAGCCCAAGTCAGCCTTCCGACGGCTCTCGAGGCCCCCAGGCGGCCCCCAAGAGACCCCAAGAGAGGTCTAGAGGCGTCCCGGGACGGCCCGAAGAGGCCAAAATCGTTGATTTTCGTTTGTGTTGTCCATGTTTTTGGCTTCTCGCGTTTTCGAGCTTCCAATGGTCCAATAGCGCCGAAGAGGCTCTCAAGACCGCCCCAAGACCACCCAGAGGCCCCCAACACACCCCCGATCCCCGAGAGGCCCAAAAAAGATCCCGACGAGGCCCCACGAACAGCCCAAGAGAGCTGCGAGAGCCATCCCGAGAGAGCCCAAAGAGAGTCAAATCATTGATTTTCCATGGTTTGTTTCTAATGTGTTTCGCCTTCTCACGTTTTCCTGCTTCCAACCCTCGAAGATCAAGGATTTCGGATGAAAAAATACCCTGCGACGTACCC